GCCCTTTTTCAGTCTTCTTCTTTACTTCTCCCTTGATTATGCATGTTAATGCTCTACACAAGATTAGGCTGTTTATGCAAGGCTAAGTAAAATTATGCAGTCTCTATTACTTTCTGTTTATGCAAGGCTAAGTAAAATTATGCAGTCTCTATTACTTTATGTTTATGCAAGGCTAAGTAAATAGATGTTAGCAGACATGAAGATTAAATTGATGTATTCCAATTTATCATACAGATGGAGAATGGAGATTAAATAGTCTTCTTCTTTACTTCTCTTCTACTAAATAGGTTGTTTTGGTTTTAAAAAAAAATCCCTGTTTCCCCGTTGTGGATCCCCGTTCCCCGTTGGGGACGGGGATGGGGATGTGATCATAATCCCCGGCGGGGACGGGGACGGGGACACATATGGGGGATCGGGGATGGGGACGGGTATTGGGGTCCCCGCCCCATTACCGCCCCATTACCATCCCTATTGTTGGCTCCTATGTGAGGAGTTTGAATGACGTAACGTTTGGGAAATATAAAATTGATTTTGTTTTTAAACATTTATAGCTGGTTATAGATACTTTTTTAGAGGTTACAGTAAATAACTAATTTCTAAAAATTCGATAATTTATTTATTTAAAAAAATCAAGAACTTAATCAATAAAAAAGAGAATGTTTTATCGTTTTTTTCATTTTAAAAAATAGTTTAAGAATTTAATCATTATTGAGAACGTAAAAGTTCGTTGAGTTTTTTTAACCTTCCCTATTAGTAATAACGATTAAAACGTGCATTTCCTTAAGTTAATTAATTTTTTTATTAAATTGTTATAAAAAAAACATAGGTATAATTCATGATTTAATCTATATTATATTATAAAATATTTGACAAAAATTCTTAAAAATTATTTTTTTATGCATGAAGTATTGTTTATTGATGCATATTACTTAAAATTCAAAATTACAAGTAAACTGTGCATAAATACAACTTATTAAAGCTTCATGTTTGAATTCGTGTAACTAACTTCAGATAAACATAATCAAATAGAGAATAAATATTTCATTTTAAATATAAAATATTAAAATATAATTATGATAACCATTAAGTTCTAACAAAATACTTAATTATTATTTTTATAAAAAATTATATTATTAAACCAAAAATAAAAAAATGAATTAAAGAAATACACAAAAAAAAGGAAAATTCTTAAATAGTTAGTTTGATACTACTATAAAAAAAAATGAATTAAAGAAATACACAAAAAACGAGAAATTTTAAATAGTTAGTTTGATATTAATAAAAATAAAATAAAAAAATGAATCTCGCTGCACTGCGCGAGTACCCTTCTAGTAAATATAAACGTATTACTGAAATTAGAGCAAATTACATGAAAAACTAACGTACTTTAACTTGATTCCTATTTTTTTGTAACATACTCTGAAAACTTTCATTTTGAAACCTAAAATGTAAAATTTTAAACATTTAAGCACACTCGGATAACCAGTTGAAAACTAATTCTAGATTAAAAAAATTCATGTCACTGACCACGTCAACAAATAATACGGAGTTGGATACCATATTACTTGCCATATCAACATGATAACAGATTAATGCTTCAACAAGTTACCCGATACTTAAATGTTTAAAACTTTACATCGTAGATACTAAAATGAAAGTTTTAAAAGTATATTACCAAAAATATGAATCAAGTTAAATTATGTTATTTTTTCATACAATTTGCCCGAAAATTATATAATTGAAATATATATATATATATATATATATTTATATACACCTAGAATTTTATGTTTAGATGTAAAAGATAGTGTCACCAATTAAAAATTTTATTATTTACTTCAAATTTGGTGTAAGATTTAAGTTATATTTGACATCCATAAACTAACTTATTTTATAAGCTTATTAAAGAAAACTCCATTTGGTTTCTCAGCTATTAAAAGAAATACACTACATTGAAATTTTTACTGGTTGCAACAGGTGCTCCTGTAATTGTAAAGCCCCGAGCTAAAGTAGCAAACTGACCCAATAGCCTTCAAATCAACTTAAAATCATGATCGATATTATTAGTAACCCATAACTTTAAACTTATCAAAAGTTTATCAATCTATTTTTGTATTTATGTGAGACGAGTTGTTGAATAGTTTGATGCAGAATGATTAAGATGCTTTTATAATATAGTGCAAAATGAAATATAATTGTTTGATAATTATTCAGAATGAAATTAGGGTGTTGAATGGTTATGGGAAGCCTAAGATACAAAATCATTCATAAGGTTTTAGAACCATTAAAAGTCAGACTTTTTTTTGACAAACAAGATTCATCTCTTAACGATTCAGATGTTGCCTCTCAATAGAACTATTAAGAGGTAAACAAACATCTCCTAAATGTGTTGTTTTTAAGATTCAACAGACATACTTGCAAAAAAAAAAAAAGTAAATCTAACCTCGATATAACTGGAAATGAAATCACAGCCGATGATATATGAACATGAAACTACAATCAGAATGTACCAAGACAACTAGTCGAAGAAATTTATAAGGTTCAAATGTATGTAAAACTCAGAACCTATGGATTTGACTTTTGAGAAAATGGTCAAATACCATGTTTACCAAATCTGTATAGTTTACCTGTTAACAGAAACACATAATAAGAAAATTAAGCAGGTTATGAAATGATTATCCACTTTAATTACTCAAAAGCACAGACCAAACACACACAAACACAACTGGCTCCAAGACTATTAGGGGTTGTTTGGTTGGTTTTCCATCAAGTCCTGTATGAGTAAAGTTGTCTATGTGGATTAATCTGTTTGTATAGGTTGGGAAGGTTTTTGTTCGGGAGAGTTTCTTTCATAGATGGAAGGAGTGTGTTTTTAGCAGGAGGGGCAAATTTGGAAAGAAAAACTTGGCTTTTTACATAAAGCTCCCCTCCTAGAAGCTTACTGAATAAGCCACTTTCTATATTAGTAAGCCACTACCAAACAATCATGTATAGCTGACCGAATAAGCTGCGAGTCAATTAAGCTCATTAAGCTGCGAGTCAATTAAGCTCATTAAGCTGCTAACAAACATGCAGTACTTCAATTGAAACTTGCATTAAAAGGAAATTTTACCTTTGGCCAGGCTCATATTCCGTTTAACAAAAATAAAGAACATGAGCTAATAGAGAACTGTACATACAAAGATGATCACTTGTGGACAAGCAAACCCTGATTCTGCCGACCAACAGTAATTAGGTCCGGAGGAAGTGATGCAGGATCGAGTTCCCAACAATCTCCTGAAAGATCCGCAGCCTCTTCCCCAGAAAGCTTCCTTGCTGGAATCTGATGCGAAAACAACCGAACGACGTGTTTTTCAAGCCATTTGATAGCATGACAACCGATCTCTTGTCTCCTGAAAATTGTTTTAAATCCATTGACCTTCTGAAGGTACCCCATGCTCAATCCATATACTTCACTATAACTTGTCAAAAAGACCACAATATCATAACGCCTATTCTCTCGAACTAACTCATCGTTTTGACTATAAAGCGCCCACACCGAACCCTTCTTAGGATAAATCCTATAAACCTCTCTGGCTGCGCGTTCACAGTCCACAATATGTGAAAATACATTAAGAGATGTGATTTTAGTTTTCTTGGAAACCTTAAACATCCCACAAGATATATGAAATCCCATTCTTTCTAAACTAATTAATCCTTCATCACAGTTGGTTTGGGGGTCCAACCAAGCCATGTCGACCTCAAACGGATGGGTTGAGACCACTTCATCAATCAAACCATAATGCCTTGGCATTCCATCATCATCATCGTATAGAGCCCATACTTGCCCTTTCTTGAAACTCCTTTCGACTCTTCCTTTATCAAAATCATAAAAATCTGAGTCTTCCACTGGCATGATCTCGATATCCTGATTCTTTTTCCCTTCTCCATTTGTCTCATTTCTTGAATCTGCCCTCTTTGATCCACTTTTTTTGTTCTTTGAATTCCCACTTTTTTCATTCTTTGAATTCCTACTTCTTTGTACCTTATCTTTCCCCTTCACTTTCAAGTTATCTTCTTTAACATTTGTTTTCACTAATCTCTGAATTTCAGCTAGTGTCATCATATCTTCTTCATCTTCATCATTCGTTGTCTTCTCCTTCAATGGCTCATTGTCTCTAACCCTGCTACCATTATCCTCTTTATTCAGACCTGTTGAAAGCTTGCTGACATTTTCGATTTTTGATCTGTCAATCTTTTTCGATTGCTCAGATCTCTTCATGATCTCCCCAACACTACTCATTTTCCTCTTTGGATCACTTACATTACGAATCCTATCGCTTTCCATGGTATCAACGCCATCCCTTTCATCACCCACCATCGCCTTCTTACCATCCTCTACCTCCATAGCCTTGAAAGTCTTCCTGCAACTAGGGCACATCAGATTATGCCCAAAATACTTCCTATCAAACTGATGCAATAACCTACAAGTTGAACAAGCTGTCCAAAACGTATCCTCTGCCACTGCTCCACCTCCAGATTCCACCTCCGCCTCTACCGCGGTCTGCAATGCGATTCTAAGCTTCATATCATACTCCTTCCTCCTAACCTTATCAGATAGAACACTAAAAGCTTCATTTACTAACTTAAAAGCGTCTTCCGAGGCAGTAAACGTATTCTTATCAGGATGCAAAATTAGGGCTAACTTCTTATACTGTTTCTTAATTGTATTAATGTGAGAGAAAGGTTCTACCTCGAGAATCTTGTACCAGTGCGGTGTCGTAGTGGCTTCTATGGTGTTTGCGGCGGCGCTGAGTATCTTGAAGGCGGTTAGCATTTCGGAGACGCCGTCGAGGGTTGGGCATAGACGCTGTGCGCGCTTCGCATATTTGATAGCTAATTTAAGGTCGGAAGAGCTGTAAGTTTGCTCGGCTAGGGTTTTGAGGCGGAGGGATTCCCACTTGTTGATGCTTTCTTCGTTGATGTCGTCGCCGGTGGAAGTGGCGTCGGTGGCGGCCATTTTCTCCCGGTTGTTGTCGTAAGCAGCAATGGAAGAGTGTCACAAATAACCTTTGCATAGTTGATGCGTAAATGAAACAAATGAATGGTACCGTTTGGTTTGGAAATTGTACGAAAAGTTAACGCAGTTTAATTTGATTTTTATTTTAGATAATGTATTTTTAAAATTTTATTTTGATATTTAAAATATAAAATTTTAAATATTTAAATATCGGGCAACTCGTTAAATTATTAACTGGTTATTATGTTGATGTGACGAGTAATATAGTATCCAACTCCGTATTAAGATATTTATATTGATATCACTCGTTGCATCAACATGATAATCAGTTAATGTTTCAACCGATTACCTGAGTATTTAAATGTTTAAAACTTTACATCTTAAGTATCACAAAATGAAAGTTTTGAAAGTACGGTACCCAAAATAAAAATTGAGTTAAATTACGTTATCTTTTCATACAATTTGCCTTTTTCAAAATGAAGAATTAAATTCAAAATTTTTAAGTAATTACATTTAAGTCTAACAGGTTCTCACGTTACATCATTAATTAATATATTATTAAAATAATTCATACATTTAATAAAAAAATATTTCCTTCTTTTAAACATTTAATTTCGATGTTTTTATTGTTGAAATATAATAAAATATAATTTATCTGACATGGTAATCATATTTGGAGAAATTTATATTTTTCTCTCCATTTTGAAGAATCTTCTGAAACACAAAATTTGATAGGATGTGAAGAGATTTGGAATTCAATTTTACGTTTGGTTTGAAAGATTATTTGGATTTGAAATCCCGTAATCATGAAATTTAGATTTCTCCGGGGAGTTATTGATATTTCATGTGATTTTGTAAAATTTGTATGTAATGATGTTTTAAAATATGATGGAAACATTTATTTTATAATAATCAATTGATAAAATATAATTTAATTATTTATTTTTATTTAATTTCATCATTAATATATATTGCAACAGTTTATTTGTAATTTTATTTATTAACTTTTAATTTATTATGTTACTAATCCTTTTATTGTTTTGATTACATTAAATGTTAAAATATCATATATCTTTATGAAAATAATTTTTAACATTAAAAATTTATTTACTTTTTGTATCTAAATAAGAATGACATACAAATCATTTTTTAGTTTTAATTATTTTACATATTCAATTATTAGTTAAATATATACTATATTATAAAGCATTTGACATAAACTATTAAAAATAATTTTTATGTATTAAGTGCTATTTGTTGATGCATATTACTTAAGTGAAGATGACGACTCTTACCCAAGTAAACGTTTACCGTGTAAATTGTTGCATTCGATACGTTTTGATGTACTAAAATCTTACTCATCAAAATAAGTTATAGCGTTGACTTATATCGATAAACACTTACCGGATAAGTATTTAGGTAAATAACCCCTAAAATGGAATCTATTTCAAACATATATGTCATGGTTCTTTACTATGACAGCCATTCCACTTGACACCTATCGTAATGATAAACGACTCATTCCCGTAAGGGCCAGGAGATTGAATCTAACCATAAGAAGTATCGAATGACATTTGCTTTTTCGATCCAAACCAAGGAATCCCTTAGATACGATGCAAAATGGATTATCCATGGCTTATAATGAAGCTTTTGCTTAAATTTGAAAAAAATACATAAACCCAAATACCAAAAAGGAACAAGTTGTTGGGCATCGGCTGACCAGGTTCTCGCCCCCTCACCACCTCATCCATTGGTCCCACAACAGATCCTATAAAGCTTTTCATATGATACGTCAGCGCAAATCTACCGTTAAAACAAACTTCACAAATCATCTTTCGTCACAATCATCATCAATCAATTCAAAGCTTGTTCGCCAGTCGGAGGAGGGAGACTCTGTTATTGCAAGCTACAGACCTCCTTCCTGCATAACACCAATTTGCATCCAACAATTTGTTCTCAATTCCAACTTTCCATCTCCCTATTTTTGTTTTGCCCTAATTTTCCCTCACTAGGGTTTCTCAGTTTGATCTAGGTTATCATTACGATTGCCAAACGTTCACCGGTTTGATTTACTGGTTCACAAGGTTTCAGGGTAAGTTAATCTAATCGAACCTCATGGTGTTGTGTATACGCGAATGTTGAACATGGGTACGATCTTTCTTGGTTTTTAATAAATTTATGTCTTAGCTTTATGTTAATTTTGTCTCATTTGAGGTAAAAGCTAAGTTTTTTTTTTTCGTATGCTGTTTTTGTGATTGTGAAGGGCTGTCAATTTTAACTTTGATAGGTAACTGTGACATGGTTAGGGGATTAGAATTCAAGCAAACTGTCGATTACTTCTTTTGGAAGTTTATAGTTTGACGGTTTTGTCATATTCAGTGACAGGAGTCTATTAAGTATGTTTGGGAACTTCAATTGGTGTAGAGGGAAGTTTGATTTTTGATTTGAGCTGTTAGGGCTTCAAGTCCAATTGTGAATCCCAATTTTCATGCTCACAAGTACTACCTTATCTGAATTGTAAGCCCTCAATGTATCTTTATTTAAATTTCAATCTTTTTTAACATGATATATGTCTTGAAATCTAGTGGTAGGATGGTTGTAGGTTATCTATAAGTCTTTCTGGTTTGAGTAATGGGAAGCAGAGATATGGATAAACCTGCCAAGGAGGCAAAAGACTCAGCGAAGGAGACTCCAACTTCCCAGGTGAATTTATTTCTCTTTGACCCTTATACTTCCATTTCTCATATGTCTTTTATACCTATCACTGACCATGGCAACATATTTCTGTCTTTTGTTTTTTCTTTGTTCAGGAGCAGTCCTCAGGTAATGCCATGGGAGCGGTGCCGGATTGGACTGGGTTTCAGGTTTCATATCTATTAACACTTTTAAGCTTTGCCAAATTGGAGCATTATGGCGTGAGTTAGTTTACTAAATCCAGGTTGTATGTACATCTTGAACAGGCTTATTCTCCTATGCCTCCACATGGGTACTTAGCATCAAGCCCTCAACCTCATCCCTACATGTGGGGGGTCCAGGTACCAGGCTTTTTGGATTCTTGATTTTGTCTATGTGTTTCTTGTGTTTTACTTATATTATAGAACTATGAATCGGGCTTCTGGCAGTGTTTCAATTTCATTTGTTTTGTGGCCGTGCATAGCCAGCTTTTTTCTTGTGGTCATGCATTTTTCTGTTTCAAACACCGACTGTATTCTCTAACCTATTGCTCCTCATCCGTATAGGATGGTTGCTAGTTCACAAAGTTCACAATTAACAGCCATCAACAAGCTTTAGTTTTAGGATAACTGGTTACATGTTTAGCTTGAGGAAATGGACACCAAATGGTGATCTGATGTTGATGATGCAGCTCATTGAAGTTGGTCATGGACATGCTTATGTTATATTTTATTTAGGCATTTCAATGCAACTTTCTCCATCATGAGTGCAATCTTTGTCCTGTATAGCCTTACTGTATTTGGTACTAAACATCTGTTTCCTTTTAATGAGTTTGTTTCGCATCACAATGTACAGTTCTCTGACGTCCTTAGTTCCCGTTTTTCCAGTTGTGTGCAATGGTGTACATATAAAATGCTACACAAATACTACTCTTCTTGATGATCTTCAAATTAATTACATTGGTTGATTGACATGTTTTCTGAGTGTTTGGAGTATGAAATCATGGTTTTAGGGTTGTGGGAACCACTCTTGGATTTTACTGCAGGAAATGTACTGAAAACTGAAGTATAGTTCAACAAAAACAGCACTTAATTATAAGTACCGGGATTGGATGCATGAATCCTTGTGCTCACTTGGTCATACCAAAACCGTTTGTTTTCACCAGAAAAAAAACATTGCTCTTCACTGCCACAAACAAATGTTGAATTTGGTCTTCCCCTAGCATTAATATTTGATGTTGAAGCTGCTGTTTCCTTTTTTCCTGGTTTTCAACTTGGATCTTCATGCTGTACTTGTGCAATTTGTATTAAATTATTTCTAGAATTTCATAATTTTCATCATTGACGAATTTGTTGCTAGCTTTGTTCTTTATCAAAATCAATGTTATCATATGTATCTCTATTGTGGGGGGATTGTGTGATGCTCTGAATCTGGGCACATCTATGCTGTTTCGAGTCCACATTTTTAAGCATTTTTCGAAAAAAATAACCTGCATTAATGCTTTATATTTTTTCTTATTGGAGAATTGATTGACCAGACCCAGAAAGAGACATACTTCACATCATCATGTTTATGGATATATTTGTCCGCATTGATGAGGGTAGGTCTAGAAGTGGTGCTTCTGCATTGTGATAAGAAGCTTTCTTATCAGAAGTTTTGGTTAAACTTGAACAATAATGAGTACCTCCCATTCTAAAACATTTGGTCCCGTTTATTTGATGTCCCAAAATATAAGTTATTATTGTTCTGCGGACGAGTCAACTATTCTTGTAATTTGATGTTAGAAATCACTAGAAAATGTACCTATATCTCAATCATCTTATGTGAACTTTTGATTATTTCATCCACATTCTAATATTTATGTGTACTTGCAGCATCTTATGCCACCTTATGGTACTGCACCTCATCCATACGTTGCTATGTATCCCCATGGTGGCATATATGCTCATCCATCTATGCCTCCGGTAATCTTGTCATCAATATTGTACTTTTGCACTAGAGTTTCTTTATTCCCACTGACATTAAATCTTTTTTTATGAATTTAACTAGGGATCATATCCTTTTAGTCCATTTGCAATGCCTTCTCCAAATGGTGTTGCTGAGGTTTCTGTGAGTTGCCTGAGCTAATAAGTTTGTGAACTATCTAAGAGTGAGATACCTTGTTGATAGAGTTAATATATTAAAAATGACCTTGCAACTCTCATGTAGGGCAATACACCTGGCAGTATGGAAGTGAATGGTAAGTCGCCTGAAGGAAAGGAAAAGCTTCCGATTAAGAGATCGAAGGGAAGTCTTGGCAGTTTAAATATGATTACGGGTAAAAACAGTGAACCCAGCAAAGCAGGAGCATCTGCTAATGGATCCTATCCCAAAAGGTATAGATGAATAGATATTATCAATGAATGGACACCATTCAGCCTTGTTTCTGCATATATAAATTTATAGTTATCCTGTACTTAAGCCCTTGTGAGTTCTATTTTATCTTGATCTTTATGGAACTGTAACTATTAGAGAAATAGAGAATAGTTTATGAAGATGCCTTCTATTAGAGTATTTGACCGGATTTTCTATTTGGTCATTCTATTCCAGTTTTTGCCTTGTGGAATTAGTAATAGTCATGAGCGGAGAGCCTTGCTTGCCACATCATATGGTGCTTTTGATGTGGTAACTTCCAAGTTAATTTGGGATTGACACGCTTTACTGATATTGGTTTTGCAGTGCTGAGAGTGGAAGTGAAGGTTCAAGTGAAGGAAGTGATGCAAATTCTGAAAATGTAGGTATTCCCGCAAAGTACTTGTTTAATGCAACTGTGGGATGAATATGTGCGAGTTAACTCCTTTGATTATGTCACTTGTTCCATGTGCATTTTTCAGGAAGAGATTCGTTAAATTACCTGATTTGATGATATATATATATTTTATTGCATGTGTGGTACTGTACCCTTTTTTTCTTGGCCTTCAATATAGGAAGTGAATTGCGATGCTTAATTTTGGTAGAAGTAGTTATCGAATTTCTTATTCAATGTATTGTTAGATTCCAGTTAGGCCGCTTCTTAAAAAAGTTACCCTTGATCTCTTGTGCTAAAGCTATCATAGCCGGTATGAATGTACAACAACTGCTTACTTGATGAAGGCGACTTGTTGAGTTTCTGGATTCTTGCTGGTTTTGCAGGTTTGAATTGATGTTTATACTTCACACCTACGTACAAAATGCGCCAAGTAACCAAATTGGTTGGGTGTTCTGGATTTTTTTCTTTAAATTTTTCATCAGAACACAGATGTAGTTTTCATTTCTTAGCTTTTGTATCACCATCTGACCAAACATAGAGCAAGCAGGAGTTAAGAAACTGGAATCTGCTTAAGATTCTTATGAATAAGTGCAGAATAACCTAGGCTTTCCTAAAGACTGAAATCGTCAACCTGCATCTAATTGTCTGTTTTAATCCCCTGAATTTGCCTTCCATTGCAATTGTACCCCCTTAGTAGGAGGTGGAACTTCAATAAGGGAAAAGAGAAGGGCGACTGCTTTGTGTATGTTGCAAATTATAAAACATATGGACCCAATTGTATTTTATCCCTCCTGGGACAACCACACCAGCACTACCGTCTTTCTCCTTTAAGACATACTCAACTACTTTTTCATCAAAATCTTTTTAATTTGCCATTGCTAAGTAGACAAAAAATAGGTACAGGTTGATGCTTGCAACTACATGCTTTCAAATTCTTTTTTGCTGATTTGGGTTCAATGTATTGCAATTATATCAACCATATGTGTTGTTCCCATGACCTTCCTAATGTAGCTGCATATGGGGACCCACATATCTGTACTGCATGCACTCATTTGTTTTCTATCTTGATTGTTTATCGCCCTTGTTTTATCAACTTTAGCCTTGGCATTGGCATTTATCTCGACCATAGAGATGGTTTTGGCACCATTAAATACATTTTAAACCGTATAATTTCCTTATACCTTTATTTGCTCCCCCTGACATTACAAGTCATTTTTAGTGTGTTTCAGGAGTCTGAAATGTTGGGATACAGATAAGAGCAAAACAAATTAAACTAAAATGGTTTGCAAAGATTAGGTTTATAATTTACCATTGGAAACCCGCCCCCAGACATCTAAACCTTTTGTGTTCGATATCTTTTCCTTAAGAAAGTAAGAAGTAGGTTTACATAAAAGAAATTGGACTGCATGTTTTTCATTACACATACATTCAAATAGTATAAAAGAAGCAGGGTTCAGCATTTTCAGTTTTTTCATTTATGTCAAACATATCATGTGCATATTGTATGCCAGCTGTGTGAGGCATATCACATGAAAATCGTCATTTTCTGAATCGTTTAATGATATATCTTTCTTCTTTGCAGAATTCCCAAATGAAATCAGGATCCAGGCAAGATTCTATGGAAGGTTCGGTTCGGGTTCTATGAGCACCTTACTGGTCGAGTTGGGACTTCTGCATTAATCTTTGTGTTATTGATGCAATTTCTATAACCATGTTATTGGCTACAGGTGAAGCATCTCAAAATGGAAACACCGTACATGGTTCTCAGAATGGAGGACCAAATACGCCTCATTCAGTGGTCAATCCAACAATGGGCATTGTGCCAATATCAGCTGGCGCTACTCTAGGAAGTGTTGCGGGTCCCACTACTAACTTAAATATCGGTATGGACTACTGGAGTGGTGCAAATACATCCAATATTCCTGCAATGCGAGGACATGTAACTTCTGCTCCAGTTGCAGGGGGAATGGTTGCTGCTGGGTCAAGGGAGAGCATGCAGCCACAGCTCTGGATACAGGTATTCCTTTGAAATTCTTTTGTGTTCACCTGCCGTGACTTTTCTGTTTTCTCGGTATATTTTTTATTATATCGATATTCTTAAGCTTTAGATTCATTGTTCTGTACAAATAAGGTGGAAAACCTGTTAAAAAAACCGTTAAACCTAGCAGCATCTCTAGTATTCTTCATCAACCACTCTATGCTGACTGTAAATTGTTGCTTTGCTTTTCGAACAATTCCAAATCTTTTGTGACATGAGGGGCATAAAACTGTGAAGTATGATTGTTTTGCCAGTGTTATTGATTGATAATATCATTTCAGGATGAAAGGGAGCTAAAAAGGCAAAGAAGGAAGCAATCCAATAGGGAATCTGCTCGCAGATCCAGATTGCGCAAGCAGGTATGAAAAATTCTCAGTTCTCAACAAAGATCCCCTTTAAGTTGCATTGTATTGTTTATTCTTTGGTTTTTTTTTTGGGGGGGGGGGATTTGTGGAGAGGGTCAAAGAGTCTTTGGCTAGTTATTTGGTATTAATTATAATTTCATTGACGGCATCTATGTTGACTTTAACGTGGGAGTCAGGCAGAATGCGATGAGCTGGCCCAACGGGCTGAAACCTTGAAGGAAGAAAATGCTTCTCTTAGAGCAGAAGTGAGTCGTATTAGGAGTGATTACGAGCAGCTTCTTGCTGAAAATGCATCCCTTAAGGTAACATCCAACTCCCAAGTATACATTTCCTTAAAACCTGCTTCTTTGCAAACAAAATCTGCTTTGTTCTTCCTTGTGATTTGCTCCATTTTTCCCAAAAGATGCAAACAGGATATGGACTTTACGTAAGTTATTGGTAGTTTGGTACAATTGCTTTTGAATTTTTTTGCATCGTACGACAACTAAAAACACCAAATTATACGTAGGGCAGTGCACCTGACTATTTAGATGATGCGAGAGTCACAAAAAACACTCATAATATTTATATACATGTATTCTGACTAGAGATTTACCACGGAACACGAAAATTTTGTGACTGGAAGACATTAATACCGATGGTTCTCTAACTTCTAAAATAAAAAGGGTTCAGTTGCAGACTTTTTTTGTCCCTGGTGGTTCGATTTTAGGTTTATCAATGGTCAAACCATCACTGGTAACCTGATGTATAAAATTTGTATGCATATTACTATTTTACAACTTCATTTATGTACACTTGTGCTGAACTTTATAATACTAGATTACTAGTAACACAAGATAAAAATGCTAAGAGAATCTCTTGAGGAAATTTTAAGTAAACTGAAGCGGGGTTTGGTTCGATGGAGTCCATCGGAATTGATATGACAGATTCCGTTGAAGACCCATTTTCGTCGGTTTGTTTGGTTTGCAAAATGAGGGAAATTTAATTCTGCCTAAATTGGCAAATTCCTTTATTTCCATGCTTTCCTTAGTTTCTTACAAGACAATGATAAACCCATGCGAATAATCCGTGAGCTATATGCACTTAGAATGGCTCGGAAAAGATAAAGTCCGAAATCAACATTAAAAAAATAATTATAATGGTATTAGAATAAACTTATTAGTATTTATATTTATTTTAAAATATGTTTTTTATAAACCAAGCAAAAACGTTAAAGGGTAATTATGCCGTTTAACATTATTTACATTCCGATTACAAAGATACATTTTGCATACCAAATCAGATTCAGTTCTATTCCAAGTGTTTCCAATTTCAATTTCTTTGACAGATTCATCACATCCAAAAACATTATGGCGAACCAAACCAAACCCGAAGTGAATCATTCATTAAACTGGAAATCTTGGTTTGAGCATGAATATGAATGAAACTTGATGTTTATGCTTCAATGGCCTGAAAATTGGCCAATGACCCCAAACCCAAATCCAAGACCGCTGAACTGCCAAACCACCAAGGTTTAGGTCGGTCTGCGGTTGATTCTGAATCGTAAAAAAGCCGGAAACTTTGCTAATTTTGGTGGTGATTCTGATACTTGCAGGAGAGAGTAGGGGAAAGCCAAGAGGAAGCAAGAGAAAATCATCAAACAGAAGTTGTGCAGAGTGGTTAACCATGTCCCATGCATATTTTCCAGGGAGCTTAATCTAACTGAATCCCCAATTACTTTAGCAGCAAAACAGGCAGGAAAATATCTGTGTAGTAATAGTAGTAGAAAAGCCATTGATGCTGACCTTTTTTTCCCCTTCTACTCTTAGATGACAATTAATGGCATATTAGTTGTAAGTTGTAACTATCCATCGTTCCGAAAATACCCATCTTTTGATTCGAGGTTCGGGAACTAAAAGAGGGGAGCTTTTAGCCGTMTGGATATTAGTTGTATGTACTAAATTAATATTGCCATCCAATGCCATCTTTTGATTCGAGGTTCGGGAACTAAAAGAGGGGAGCTTTTAGCTGTCTGGATATTAGTTGTATGTACTAAATTAATATTGCCATCCAATGCTATCAGTTTTGCTCAATTTTGTCGAAATCGGACCAGATTTCATGAACCTCGGGCTTTTAGACGAACGGGTTGGGCGGAGCTCACCTCGTCGTTCAAGTACTGGTCAAACCGTTTGCTTCGGTTTTGATCGTATATTTTGGTTTTTTGGTCTTCTTTAGTTGTTACAGTTGTTTCTATGTATATTTTATATGGTACATTATGTTATGATTCAAGTACAAGTCTTTTCTATATAGCTTAATGTTTTGATTTAATTATAAATTACGAAAATTGCAATATATAATGGCAGGTTCGGTTGAGAACTGCATTTGCAGTTGCGAACCGGGGGACCAACGAGAATTTTCGTTAGGAACCGCCAAGAGCTAGCAATGTGTTGGGGACATTCCGGTTCGAAACTATAGGGTGGTGATCGTGGTTTGCAAAAACGCTCGCCAATATAATGAATTGCTTTTCCTCCAAAGGCGAAAATTTGTTAAAAGAAATAGCGGAAATCATACATCATGTTTTTTTTTACGTTATAAAAACAAAAACGAAAACCAACGTAGAACTGAAGTTGTAGATTTTACATATATCAAATCGAACAAGAAACACATCTAACCAACATAATAACACAACGTTAACAAGCATTTATTATATACGACAAAGGTGATGAACAGTATCACCGTATCGTATTCCGTTAACTTGTTACTTCTGTATTTATGCATTTATTTCACTTAATTATATTTCGAAGACGTTTGATTCATGGTCAAACGTCTTCACGGGCAAAATACAACCCGGTAGTTGGTTCCACCGGGACAAGTAAATGTGCTGGTTGCGTCATCCTTGGGGTAGCTATAAGCGTCAGGACACCGATTCTTGAAAAATCTTGAAAAATCAGTTGCCGAGCATCTTCCAGAGTTACAACAGTAATTATCGCTCTTATACACGGTGCATGGATTATTGCACCCTCCGGGAGCGCGTAATTGGTTAGGACACTGACCATTGATGTCTGCGGTACATCTGATGCCCCGACACCGGCCCGAGTTGGGGCTAAACTCCATTGGCACGTTGAATCCATCGACAAGAGAAATGTCAAAGAAATCAAGATTATTGTATTGATTAAGAGCGTACTCGGCCAATGTGTTAGGTGGTGCACCGTAGGCTTGGCACCGAAGGAGACCGTTACAGTCACCGGTTTGACAATGACCTCGACCAGACCGGTCAAAGTTGCAGCCAGTACGGGGCCATATACGGGCTTGTGTTGTGCCGGCTGGGACATTTATGGACCAGACTTGGCCGGGGTTAAGCCTCTGGCCACCACCAGGCACCGCACCAGCCCAGACGGTGTACCGACAGTTGTTTCGGATGTCGAAAGTGGCTGCATTGGAGAAGCCAAATAGAAGAGCCAAAAGAAGACAAGTAGAAAGGGTGGTGGAGGATGCCATTGTGGTTGTGGGTGGATTCAAGTGAAACTAAGCCTGGTTTATATAGAGTGGACGTGGGTAGAATTTGTTGAACATAAATTACGATGATTTTTGTTTATCTTTTAATAGTTTTATTAAAAAGTAGTTTCTGAATCATTAAGAGGTGAATCTTGTTTTGTAAAAAAAATATGCCTTTTAATGGTTTTTAAACCATCTAAACGATTTTATATCTTGGGTCTCCCTTAACCATTCAGCACCCTAATTTCATTCTGAATAATTACCAAACGATTATATTTTATTTTGCACTATATCATAAACGCCTTTCAATCATTTTGATCACTTAATCATTCTATCTATCATTTTATGGGATGGTGGTTGGTTTTTCGTTAAAATTTATGTGAAAAAAGCTAACTATGTGGATTAATATATCTATATAGATTGGGAAAGTTTTTGTTTAAGAGGTTTTTTTTATAGATAAAAGAAGCACGTTTTTTAGTTGAAAAATGTAGGTTCGATTTTTTTTTGACTTTTTGCATAAAGCTCTTCTGGCCCCCAGAATCTTACTGAATAAGCCAATTTTTATATCATTAAACTACTTATAAACAATAATATATAGCTAATTGAATAAACTGTTAATTTTATTAAGCTACTAACAAACAAAAGCTAAACCTGGCTTATGCATGACATGGTTAGAACTTGTTGAATACAAGTGACTAAGAGGTCGTTTACCGAACGTTTATCCGGGTAAGTGTTTACTGGCAAAATTCAACATTATCACTTACTTACGGGTAAGATTTTAATCCACAAAATGGTATCAAATGCAAAAATTTACCCAGTAACCGTGGTAAGAGTCATCGTTCTCATATACCCGGTAAGACTCTCGGTACTTGTTTTTGCTCTTACTGGGTAAGATTCTTGATACTTACCATATTTATTCGCTAAGGTTATATTACTTGATAAGTGTTTACCCGGGTAAACGTTAGGTAAACAGCCCATAATTTCATGGCTCACTATCTATTCAGATATTAATTTATGACAATCATCATTTTATTATGGGTAATGTTATTTGCATCCTATGTCAAAATTAAGTTAATTCATGTACTGAAAAAAATAAAGAAATTAGGTTATGATATTAATGTACGAGTAAGAAATTTATAGGTAATGATGCATTTAATATATATATATATATATATATATATATATATATATATATATATATGTGGGTGTAATTAGTCCACCTCTTCATTAAAGAAAAAAATAATTATATAATTATATATATAATATAAAATTATAGGTAATTGTGTATTTAGTAATATATAGAGGTGCAATTAGCCGACCTTTTTATTAAAAAAATAGTTTAATAAATATATATTAAATAAAATAATAATATGAGATAGAAGAGAGATAATAAAGAATATATTGTTTGCATTTGATTTTTGGGCTTTTTGACAGTTGGTGAATGATTTGGTGCATAATGATTAAGAGATTTTCATAATATAGTGCAAAATGAAATATAATTGTTTGATAATTGTTTACAATGAAATTAGGGCGCTTAGTAGTTAAGGGAGACTCATGCTACAAAATCATTCAGAGGGTTTTAAAACCATTAAGAGACATAATTTTTTTGCCAAACAAAATTCACTTATTAAAGATTCATGAGACTCCCCCTTATTTTGATTTATAACCGTCAATTTTCATAATATTTCTTAAATAAAAACCAAATTTTATGTATATATGTATTAAAAAAATAATTAATATATTTTATAACTATCGTACGGACTTCTTATATTAATAAATATATTTAATAGGATCCTAAAAATAATTTAAACAAAAATGAAAATTTTCACTACAATTACAAAAAATGCAACAAAAATAAATATCTATATCAATAAAAACAGTGTTTTGAAAGGCTTATCGCAGTCACTGTGATGCGTTATGACTCAAGACTTGTGTTAGACGTCATGTTAAACCTGTGGCATGCCATGACGTAATTTATGATTTTTATAACACGGTATTTGATTCTTTTTATATTTTCAGTGTCTTATTTTTTTTTAGTTTTAGTATAACATAACGTAAATTGTTTAATACCATTGACTCGAGTAATAGTAAAAAACATATACTTTTATATGTATATAGCAGACAATATGGAAATTTCCCACCATAAGTCACGTCTTGAAAAATGTCATGACCCTGCCGTGCCTCCTAAAGTTTGAGGCTTGCGCCACACGTCACATGTCACACGTCGACCAGGTAGAACAAGAAAATAACACTAAATAATAAATAATAATATAAATCAGTTATAGTTGATATAGTTTATTTAACACAACAACTTGTCTGCCTGATGATAATGGATTCAAACTTTTGATCTAAGCCCATTGAGTGATGAGGAAAGTGGCATAAAAAGATGCCACTCCTAGACTATGAATACAAAAAGCAATTTTGACTATAGATTTGTAGCGTTTTAGTCTTGGTCTTTGATCAAAACGATCAAGACGAATGATTGAGGGGATAAACTTGTTACTTTGAGTTTTTTTTTTGAAGACCCACTATGATAATGATAAGGGTTTTTGGATATACGTCCAAAGCGATCAGTAATATCAGAATCTGATGTGTTTCTTTGCAACTCAGTAAAAATCATCTTCCTAGTGTAAGATTATGCTTGCTTAGTGAATTTTGAGTGAGAACTTGTTGTAGGCAAATTCAGCTAATACTGATAAGCTTTTTCATTAATGGAACTCCTTAATATTGACGATGATAGTGACTTAATTGTGTACCGATTTCATCAATAACATGAAACTTAAACCAAATTATGCAATTTGATGTTTAGATCGATAATCCACTGGAATTCGTATGTGCAATATACGTCAAGCAACAGTTAGATCTCTAGATTTTAAGACGTGATGTATCTTAAATAATATGAATATCTATTTTTTATGCTTTTTTGCTCGACCAATCACCACTCGTGATCTGTCTTGGGCAAATCAGATGAGTGAGATCATGGTTTATTTCACTTAACGAATTCAATCGAAATAGTGAATTATCCAACCCAACTATCGTATGATCGTGATCCATATGTTATAAACCTATCGTTGATTCCTCCTAGATCGTAAAGGTGTTGGTCTAGTCATCCTCAGGGTATATATAGCTCATAGTTGTAAGCATCGGGACATGATCTTTAATAACGTTCGAAAATTATGTGGATCCTCAGCTTCTTGAATTGCAACAAATATATTGATCGACCTTGAACATGGTTGATTGGTTATTGCATCCAACATGAGCCTGTATAGAATTAGGCAATCTTGGTTATAACACGGTCCTTATTACAGTTCGTTTTAAACGAAAAAAAATAAAACTTTTTACAATAATTTAAATATATTTGACCAGATAGATTCGTGGCATGACTAGAAGATTTAAAATCTAATTATAAATCAAAAAAGAAAAATTTGATGGGATTACACGTTAAAAAGTAAATTCAGTATTTATGAAATATTTATCGTATCAGTAAAACTCAATTTCTATAATGTATTTGAATGTGTTTATCAGTTGATTTTGTACAATTATACGTAAAATTTTAAAAAGTTGTGCATATACAATGATTTTTTTTTTTGAAAGAATACAATAATAAGTTACATATTACTCTCTCTGTGCCAAAAATAAATGCTCACAACAAAAATGGTATATAGTTTTAAAAATATGTAATTATTATACTTTTTAATTAACCAAATGACAATTTTACTTTTAATAATATAGATAAAAAAATTAATTCTATAATTAAGGGTAGAATAAGAAAATAATATTTATTTAAAAGAAGTTAACTATTATTTAAGATAAACTAGGGCCGTTTACTAAACGCTTACTTAGTAAGTGCTTACCGGATAAATTCTCTCATCGGATGAACATGACAAGGGCCAAGAATCTTATCGGGTAAGTAAGAGCAATAAGAAGGAAGTCTTACCATGTAAGTGAAGATGACGACTCTTACCTAGGTAATCGCTTACCCAGTAAATTGTTGCATTTGATACGTTTTGATGAACTAAAATATTACGCATCAAAATAAATTATAGTGTTGACTCTTATAGGTAAGCACTTACCAGGTAAACAATTCAGTAAACAATAAAGAGCAAATTGTATGAAAAAATAACGTACTTTAACTTGTTCATATTTTAGGTAACGTACTTTCGAAACTTTCGTTTTGATACTTAATGTAAAGTTTTAAACATTTAAGTATCCGGGTAACCGGTTGAAGACTAATTTTAGACTAAAAATATTCATGTCACTAACCACGTCAGCAAAAAATAATAGTGAGTTGGATACCACATCACTCATCACATCAACATGATAACCGATTAATGTTTCAACCGATTATTCAAATACTTAAATATTTAAAATTTGAAATATTAAATATCAAAATATAAGTTTTGAAAACGCTTTACTAGAAATGGTAGTCCTTAGTTGTTATCAATAGTTATTACCAATAGCATAGACTTGACTTATAAATGGTCACTAAATACGTGACACGTGGCTAATTCTATTAGTGGATGTCTAACAATATTTTGACTTTTACTTGTAATTATGATAGTATTCAATTTCAAATTCATGATTAATCGTAATTTTGAATTAGGGGCGTTTACCAAATGCTTATCTGGGTAATCGCTTATCAAGTCATATTATCTAACGATATAAATATGATAATCACCAAGAATCTTATCTGGTAAGAATGAGACAAGAACCAATAGTCTTACCCGGTAAGTGACGGTGACGACTCTTATCACGGTAAGCGCTTACTGGATAAATTGTTGCATACGATGTCGTTGTAGTAGACTAAAATCTTACCCGATAAGTAAACGATAGTGTTAAATTTTACCGGTAAACGCTTACTAGATAAGTGTTTGGTAAACGACCCCTTAATAATTTATAAGTAGAAGGTTCAGATAAGAAAGTTTAGATACCGTGAGAAGGTAAGAAAATAAAATTAAAATAAAGGTCATATGTGAATAATTGAATTTTGTTTTTCATTTAAAGACGCAT